GGTCTTCTTTTAAAATATATGAGAGGGTAAGTTTTTCATTGTGCCATTGCCCTATATGTTATATTTACTATTTGTATAAGAAAATTGAGGGTATCATATATTTAGTCAGTATCCATAAAAGTATTAATTGCAGTCAATCTGTTTTTCCTGTTTTGTTTGTAATTTGTGTAAGCAGTAAGGTCAACGTGGGAAAGAAACAACATACAATCAAACAACGATGATGTAATATTTGAATTTTGGTAATTAGATTGTAATGTTTTCTCCGCATAAAGGTAGTAGTATGAACTAATTTTATACTGTATTCCAAATCTGATTTCCAAGGCTTGTTTATTTCTCATATAAATCATTTTACACAAAGTTTTGAATTATGCCCTACAGATTGAGGAAACCATTGCTAGAAGTGCAAGTCAAGATGACTCTGACATTGAGAATGGCCAGCACACTTACCGTTTGATGAGCATTATCAGTCACTTCGGGTTAACGACCAATACAGGTGAGTTTCCCCAAAAGTAGTAGTATTATTTATGATATGTAATTGCTGATAATTTCTTATTGATTACAGTTTCTTGCCACTGATAAGAATTGAAAACCTTTTCTTAACTACAGGAATAATGGAAGTGCAGAAGTTCTGAATTGGGCATTTATATTTATCAGACATATATATAAACTGAATTCTGTGTGTTGACGATAGTCCGGATAGAGTAGGAGAGTGTGCTCAGCGTTGTGTCCCCTAGATGTGGATGATAGATGCAGTTACGAAAATCTCTGAATCTGTTGTTCAAATGCAATGAGTGAGAGCAAGAGTGAGAAAATGGATAGCATTTTCTGAGTTGTTAGTCCAGATAGGCTAAAAGTTATGTCCGAGTATTTGTTGTGTAGTGTCCTGTTATGCTGATTTAACATACGTGTCCTACAACCATACTATCCAAACAATATTCTATAAACAAGTTGATTCTCGCACAAGCGTTAGACAACAAAATATAACAAATACATTATAATAATATAGTAATTAAAATAGATTATAGGATATTCTCACAATGTAGGGATAAGAATGTCTTTACATTGGAATCCCCTTTCATGATACAACAAGAATTCCAAACTTTAACATCAATTGAAGTAATACGCATCTATAATGTATTTATGGAAAAATTTCCCAAGCCATCTTAATTCTTCTTACCTGCTCAAAAGCCTTAAATTGAGCCAATGTTCCCTCAATGGATTAATATTGCAAAAAAAAACATTTTCCTCAATGATTAATGCAATTTTCTCTCACCAGTGGTGTTGTGCACTTCAGTTGACTCAGTTGCAACAAGTTTAAAGGGTGCCACATACATTCATTACAGTGGATTTATTTTCTTATTTGAAATTTGATTTTCTTGTTACATGTCTTTCTTTTAGAATGTAAAAATAAAAAAATTAGTTCTAGTGAATGTGTTACCCTAAAATGTGCGGTTTATAAAATGATTTCATAAACAAAATCACTAAGGGACTGTCTTTAGTTTAGTTATAGGCAAAATAAAAAAAATTAATATGGCAATCATGGAGTCGAAGACTTGTTTTAGGACAGTTCTTAAATTAGTGAAAGAAAATTACTGTGATATTTTATGGAATTACCACCTCTGATCTCTGAATTTACTCTCATATTTTGTTCACAACAAACCTGCCTCCATTAGATATGGAATGAACATAAGACAAAATCCAAAGGTAATGTCAAGTCATTATATAAAAATGAATAGGAAACTCTTAATGCTCATTAGACTTCATTTACATGTATAAACTTCTTCCCGTGTTTACTTTTTGCTCCTGTTGATTGGTTAATTGCCAAACTGCAAACTGATTAATGAGGATACATGTGCAACACTCTCACAACGTAATTGTAAGCTAGTTTATCTTTACCATAAGAAATTGTGATTTTAATAGTATGCCCTAAGGAATATTTCCTCAATGGAGAAATAGTCGTGAACATTCTTTGTTTCAAAAAATTAAAATAACTTTGTTATACATTATCATCATTGTCTATGTGATATACTTTAATTCTTGCAGAATAGGTGTTTACATGTTTGTGTACATATTATTTTCTTTTTCAGAGACCTGTTCGAGAAAATGGAAAAGAAGACACAGAATGAGAGAAGTAAAGGTGTATAGTATTAGCATAAGATAAATAATTGTACATAGCTGCTTCAGTAAAGGTAATGACCTCTGCAAAATTATTTTTTAAAAAGCATTAGATAGATTGATCAGTCCCAGTTATTTTGTTTTGTTTTGTTTTTTACAGATAGTCACTAAATTTGATGTTATATATGTTCACTGTCTTAAATAGAGGCAGGAACTTCTCTTTTATAATCATGTTAACATATATCTTCAATTGTAAAACCAAACGAGGAGAAAAAGACAAAAAAAAAGGAGAGATTACTTTGTTTTATGTACCATTTTTATTTTGTTATAATAATTTTTTTCAATATAGTACCATTTATTCAATGTATAATCTTTGTGTATATATGTTAAAAGGTTCATGTAAAGAATGTATTTTTTATTTTTACAAATCCATAGTTATTATTGAAGGAGGACTCTAGGTTTGATAATTCAACTAATATCAAACATTTTCTGTATGCGAGTACATGTAAACTTTTTTGTGTATGTGAGCATGTGTAAGTGTGTGTTTGTATGTAATCTCAAGTAGAGCTAATTTAAATGTGGAAGTGGCGTATATATAGTACAGTATTTCTCAAGTACTTGACCTCTTATTGTCTTCAATAGGACACTTTCATTAGGAACATGCAATAGTATTCATTCCTATACAGCTGATGTGTTTTAAGAAATAGAAACAAGCAAAAATCTCCATTCTAAATGCAGTAAGACATTTAATTTAAAAAAATAATGGCTGTGAATTTTTTTTTTCTGGGTGGGAATCTTTTCTCAGAATTTGCACTGTGAACACTGCATCTTGTAAGAAAATTCATGAGTCTTTTTCAGTAAATTTAGGGTCAAGGAAAGATGGGGCAAAGTTCTGAATCAGGTTAAAATATGCACAGCTGTTTTTATATAATGGTGCAAATAATTAAAGACTCCGTGATTTGAAGTAAGAAATTGGTGCCTAAAAGTATGTATGAAATTTATAGTTTCAATTTCAGCCTTTTTATAATTACATAAAAAAAACTAGTCAGTAATATATGAATTGTGATGACTAGATTCTGTGTTGCAATTTTGTAATATATCCAGATGTAAAGTAATTAGCTTTAGTGTAATTATTAGGAACTGATTAAATAATACCATGTTATTGTTTTTTTATTTATCCTTTTTTTTTTTTTTTTTTGCTATTGCATTTCATTTATTAAATTCTGTCTCAACTGGATTCCATTAATTTACTGTTGTTTGGTATTATTAATAAAGCTCCTTATTTTCCAACTGAAAATACTTATTTTATTCTCCAATATGCTCTAGCATTTTTCCCCTCACATCACACTTTTGGTGGACCATAAAATGATAAATGGATATTATATAAAAAGATAAATCCATTTCCAGTATATTTGCTAAAAGTTCAGTCCACCTTCATTGTGTCCAACGTTAAAAAAAAATATATATATATAAATGAGTAAGATTTTAAAACAAATTTCCTTTCATAGAAAATTACTTAATATTCAGAATATACTCCCTCCTCTCCCTTCATCTATCCACGGTTTTCTTCATTGTCTGCCCCCTTTTCCCACATTAAATCTCTCCATAGTGTAATCTCACCCCAGCCGTCATCCTTCTACTTCCACCTCTACAAACATTAAGTACTTTTTTTAGCCTAACCATGTGGAATTGATTCTTTGTGATTCCCCTTACAGCCCTCTACTCGGGAAACACCCTCCTATTTCAGCAATGTCTCCAAATATAACTTGACCACTTCCCCTGTGTCTACCCTCTAATATACCCACCTCTTACTCTGCTCCTTAGACATGTCTGCTCTTCTCAAAAGAAACCCTTTGTTTCTCAGACCTTTAAAGCCATCTCTTCAGAAATGACAATACCAAAACTTCCTAAACATGACCCAAGAGAATGCTCCTCTCTCTAATCCACCCTCCAATCTCTACTCCCATTCTGTACAAAACTAGTTCTAGCATTGTTCTTCAACCCATTCACATTAGAATTTCCCCACACAGATTTCATGTTGTCAGCTGCTTAAGTATGGCTGCAGCATACATGATTTTTTTTAGATAATGAGACTATAACATGACTCAGGTCTACTTTTGAGGGACTTCATCTTCTCATTAGCCATAGTCCAGGCTAAAAAAGTAAACTGTTTGGTGACCAAAATTTGAGCAAATTCAACCTGCTCTTGGAATGAGTACTTACCACTCAGTATATTGGCACTGTTTGTCATGATGTGAATAGATGTCAACCAGCATGAGTGAATTAAATTTGATTTTTGTTTTGTCAACTGAGCCTTCATCTTTATCCTGTAATTCCATTTTTTTGTGTTCATTGGTATTAATTTAGGAAGAAATTAATACTTTCCTTTATTCTAGTACTTTATTTACAAAACAAAAAAGCTATGTACACTAATAACATTAATTTACTGATATCAATGCTTATGATTTATTATGTGAAGTTTTTGTTTCAAAAACGTAGCAGTTGGTGGCACATTTCCTTTTCCCGATTTTTCAGATTTGTGTTACCTGATGTTGCTGCTTTATTCATATTTAAATTGAACAACTCTGACAAAAAAAGGGTGAAATAGAAGACCATACACAAGTGAAAGCTTCAAATTTTTTACCATATTGTACTTATGCTCAATACTGCCCATTTAAATAGTGGACTTTCTTAACTTGAACAAAAAAGAAAAACTATTTGTCTCTGACCATAAATGAAAGAAACCTCCTCCTCTAAGATCATAAGCCATGAGCTAATTTGACTTCTTTTTCATATTGCTGTCTCTCATTCAACAGATCCTCGTAAGCTTGTATTGCCAGCTGTAGTTGAGGTCGACGCAAAGAGTCATGTTCCATGTATGCCTGGAAGGAGGGTAAATTTTGTAAGTTCTTGCACATACTAAAGCCTGCTTACACAAACAATAACCAAGCCAATTTAAGGCAGGCTTGAACTCAACCTGAAAACCAATATGAAACTATAAAACACTAAATTAGTACTTGATCCTATGTTGTCAATTCTGTGACACAGCTTTTCCAAGGATGATTGTATGAATAGCATTTCTAGCATGTAGAGGTAATGCCTTAAAGAGATCTTCTTGAGCAAGAAAATTAAAACAGAGGGGTAGCAACACAGGTATATAAATATGATGTTCTAATTAAAATTTTCACCAGTTTTGAATGACTACTTCAATTAGAATAGTTGAACTAAAAGTTCTGGAAACTTTTGATATTTTGTCAAAGTTGACTGGATGTTTGTAAGCAACTTTTATATAATCAAATGCAACTGCCACACTACATAGTTTATCTTTTAGTGTATGGACCTGAAGCTGGTGTATTTGGGTGATGTATACTTTAAATGAAGGAACTCCCTGAAACCTATGTAGTTTTCGCAAAATTAGTCTTAAAGAAATAAAAGTTATCTAAGCATAAACCCACCTTATTAACATGTATGCACTTAATCAGTTGCAATGCTCAGATATTTGCTTAATGATAAATATCAGTCCCTGAGCATAAAATATTTATCATTATTCAACACTGCAGTCAACAATCGTTTCTTAATCAGCTAAAACAAAATAAAGATTCCTAGATGGAACATAAAATTCTACCTTAATAAATTCTATATGCTGGTTCTGGTCCACATTCAATGTTTTTGACTTGCAGTCAGCATGCATCATGTGATACAACTGTACCAAGTCTGCTGCATTTGATAGCCTGTGGAGTGGAGAGATATATCTTATTCTGAGAGAATGGTGATAATAATTTATCATTTCTCAAAGCCCTATTTGGAACATTAAAGTCTTAACTAATACCATGGATCATTCAAAGTAAACTATAGTAAACTAAAGTTTGACTTTGGAATATAGTAGCCTCAGTATACTGGAAGCATCTCTACATATTAATGATTAATAAAGTTGATATGATTTTTTCTTGCTTTCAAGTTTGATGTTAAATTGGACATTTACATTAGAAAACTATACAAATGCAAATGCGCAAAAATACAAATACAAATCAGATGCCACCTGTGGGACTTACATCTCCCTTTGTATCAAATCAATCAACAAGTTATCCATTTTCCTGTTCCATGCCAGATAAAAGCACATGGGTCCATAGTGCCGTGTAGAGTGCAGTATTTGGTAGTGGCGCCGGGCTTCAACTGCTTCATACGTGGTACTGGTGATGCGGTGATACTCGGGGTCATCTGGCTCAAACTGGGCACATGCACGATCCAATACAAATTCATATTTTTCTCTTGCAAGGACATCCTGTGAATAACAATGGAAGTCTACATAGAATTACATTATATACAATATACATGTCTCCCACACCATACAATCAATTGCTGCACCACTACTGTACAATGGTCAGTCTGTTAGTAGTCAAATGTGCCTTGTATGTTTTTCCTGGACATTGCTATCCATGTAGTTATTTCTGTACATAAGCTGAAAAAATTGGCTAAGGGCTAGGGTGATGAACATGCAGTCATGAGAATTTTGGCTGAAGGCTGGGGTGACAGGAATGACTCACAACAAGTGCACAATGCTCTAGGAGGGTGATTAGATTCAGTGCATATTTAGGAAGGGGCTCTTGCATTATTTCTATTATTACATTGTTTGGGTTGAGTAAATAAGTCTCACACTCAGGTCACTACTCAAGTAAGCCTAATGACCAGATTATGGGCCACATGTGGGAAGTGAAGCACCCAAATCAAATGGGCTAAGCCTATGTTTATAATGCTAACTGCATTTGATCAATGGCATCAATGGCATGCAAAGTAATTTTTGAGGAACATAACCTGATCATATTAAAGAGAAATCCTTAGAAAGTTTACTGATTTAATAACCACTTTCAACAGAATTCCAATCAATCTGACAATGGAAGTTGAATTCATCAAGTATACACTGCAAATAATTCACTAAGCATTTCATACAGCCAAAGCATGTTACATGTTACATACATCAAAATATATAATTTCCATGAAGCAAACATCCTCTTAAAGTACCTTGAGATTCTCCTCCCTGAAGACCTTGGGAATAAGGATCTTTCGCCCAGGCCGTAGATTGTACAGCTGATTCATTCTATCACGCTCCTCCCAAGAAGCTTGGCGCAGGACCCCATCATTTTCTCTCACCAATATTATCCTCTTCTGTAAAGATATAGGTCACGCATCAATAAGCTTTAAAAAATAATGAAGGATAAACTTCTAGCTAAAAGAAATGAACGAGAGAGAGAGAGAGAGAGATTCACAAGAAGAGAGATCAACAT